CCTTTTTTTCTGAGAGTGTACTTTTGGGACACCAGATCCGGTCACGTTTGGGCACGTGCTTTCCGGACAAGAGGTCAGAGCTGACTGCACAGGGCGGGAGTCAGCCCACTCCGCCATTTTTTAAACCGGGCAGAAAGATGTTCTTCCCAAACTTCAGTAAGTGCCCAAAGTGGCTGCCGGGAATCGTCAAGAGCGCGGAAGGCTCACGCATGGTGACGATACAAGCCAATTCGGACCTGGTGCGTCGCCATCTTGACCAAGTTCGCCAGCGGCGCACAGAAGACCCACTTGGGTTTACCGAATGGACTAACCCAGAGGCGCCACTCACACCTACAACATCAGAGGGCAAGGTTCCCTGCGACGGAGCTCTAGCTGAAGGAGGGCTGGACCCATTGCCAAGCCACAATCCCACTGATTCAAGCCCCGCAAACCCAAGTCCATATAAAAGTTCCTCAACAAACCAGAACCAGCCCCTCTCAACTCCTGTGCCACTTCCACGGCGCTCGACTCGAGATAGGAAACAGGTTCAGCCCTTCCAGTCTTCTTTTTAAGGGGGAAGATATGATGGGAACTGAAACCAGACGACGACGACAACGCACACTCTTCGGGAGCCGAGTGCGCGAGCGGCGTTGTTCGGGATCCGCCATCATGAAGTAAAAACGTTTATTGTCCCGGCTCTTCAGTTCTTAGTAGAACATATCGCCACACCGGCGATTCGGTAGTACTTTACTACACATTGATTGCCGAAGTTAACTGGGAGCAGTCTTCGTAGGTAATTGAGCCCCGAATGTACAAACCAACGCCGCCTCCTCATGCTCTTGCAACTCGGGGTCGCGATAATAATGTGTAATTAGAGGTGTAATATTCGCAGGTATTAGCCAAGTTTCAGATACAGCTATAACATTATAGGAACGATGGTGTTCAGCCAAGAACGAACAGAGAATATAGAAGTTTTTTGTTGATATGCTTCCAATATTGCAGTGAACTATTCATATTTGGTTATTTTGTGAGTAAAAGCTATTGTCAAGGCTAGCGGTCAAAATTAGAAGAGTCTGGACAATATGGTAAAGAACAGCTTCGGTGACTATGCGAACAACCGCCGAGTTATCTGCTTTACGCTTCAAGATTTTTCCGTCTAAATCTGAAAGATGCAACATGAGGCCTAGCGATAAACCCCAAGTTTCTTGCCTGTGGACAGCATCGGGTGAAAAGCAAAGGAAACTAGACGAAACATACATTACTTCGAGGAATGAATTCCAGTTGTAAATGCGACCGTAGGACGGGCAACCAAAGTTCTTGGTGGAAAACATGCCCATAGCCGAAGGTCATACTAGGAAAGATAAGGTTACAGTTCTGTGGTACACTGGTTGCAACACCGTAATCGTGAGAGAGAGCTTAGCTTCCGTCGGAAGCCACACTGAAAACTCGAGCCCTATATATTTGTTAAACCAGTTCGTAAAATATTTAACAGAGGTAGAGATACTTCTTACGCCATTTTTCACATGAAATATTCTTGCGAAGAGCATTGAAAAATCACTGTATAACCTGGTGCTGGGCAACATTCCGCAGGTGAGAGAAGCTAACAACCAAGACTCAGCCCGGGAATGCGGTCTACAAAACAATTGACATGCCACCGTCGACGAACTGGGACATTTGTCACCAGGTCATTAAACAAGAGGTCGTCAATTTGGACATCACTGAGTCATCGAGAAAGTACTCGAGAAATCAAGGTCTTGGCACAATTAAACCTTTTGCAAGTCTTGCCGGACTAGGGGAAGTGAAGAGGAACAAGGATAAGAACAAAGAACAACCGCCACTAAACGTGCGATAGGTTCCGATTCTTGAGACCACAGGCGAGGAGCTTTCAAGGGAGCAACGAATGACGCATCCCCGAAGAAGTGCTTCGACAGCGTTGGGAAGGTCGCGAAGAAGCAAAATGTCATACACGATACTACGAAATGACAATTAGGTAAGACATGCTTTTTTCGAAGCAGCACATTTGCAACAGGAAGAAACATCGAGCAGTCTCTGCTCCCAAAGAGATACAGGTCAACCGTACTGGCAGTGGCACACAATGGCATTATTTCTGGATACCAAAGTGTGAAGAACACGCTGTCATTGGTTAAAGAAGAGTTCTTCTGGCCAGGAATTCCAAATGACATCAAGATGTATGCTCGCTCGTCCGACATCTGCCAACGTACAGTACCAAAAGGCAGAGTTGGCAAAGCACCTCTTGGAAGAATAACTACAATCGAGAAACCATTTAAGAGGGTGGCGGTCAAAAACATCGGGCCAATTAAACCAATGGCAAGTTCGAGCAACCGATATAATTTGACAATGGTGGACATTGGTGGAAGTTGGGACGGAGCAAGTGGCAGAAGCGCTAGCATATATATTTGCCAGATGCGGAATTCCATCTGAGGTAGTGAGCGATCGAGGTTGCTGCTTCACCTCTGATTTCATGAAGGAGGTGAGCAGACGTCTTTCTGTGAAGCGTCTATTAACAACCACTTACCACCCGATGGCAAATGGATTAGTGAAGATATTTTACGGGACCATCAAACAGATGATGAAACGAATGTGTCGGGAGAAGCCTAAGGGCTGGGATAGGTACCTACAGGCACTGCTGTTCGCCTAGAAGAGAGGTCCCGCAAGCAAGCCTGAAGTTCTCACCCTATGAGTTGCGCTATGGGCGAAAAGTACGTGGACCTTTGGCTATCCTCAAGAAAACCTGGTCCGACGAATCACGTAAAGAGGACCTCAGGACAACCCACACCTACGTGTTAGAGCTAAGAAATAAACTAGAAAGAACATGCGAGTTGGGGGCTCACCACTGGTTGGAAGAAGCCCAGGGCAAGTACAAGAAAAACTAAGACCAAAAAAAGCGTAAATTGTGGACTGACATCTGGAGACTTGGTTCTCATTCTGCTTCCAAGCGATCACAATAAGCTGATTATGCAATGGAAGGGCAGGGGTCCTTTGAAGTCTCAAACAGGAAGAGTGAAGTCGGCTACGAGCATGACGTTGGAGGTAGAAAGAAGGTATTCCATATGAATATGCAAAACAATATGAAGGAAGACAAGAGTACGAGATGCATCGGCTCAGCTGCAGTACAGCGATACAAGCCTTCAGCGAGAAGACTCTTCCCGAAAGAGACACTACAGAAGAGTCTCTGCAAGAGGTCATCGTCAGCGACGACCTAGATGACGAGAAGAAGGCCGAAGTGTGGAGGTTGATTGAGTAGTACCAGCCTGGTATTTTCACATCGGCCCTATCGGACAAACTTGGTTACGCCTGACCTGAAGCTGACTACCGAAGAACCAGTCCGTGTGAGGCAGTACGCGTTGCTTTTTGCGGTCCAAGATGTTGTAGAAAAGACGATTGCTGAAATCTTTCAAGTGGAGATCATCGAGCGGTGCACACCACCCTACAACGCATCGGTCGTAATCGTTAAAAACAAAGACGAGTCTAACAGGTTTTGTGTTGATTACCGAAGATTGAATGACCTGTTGGACTTGAACGCAAAGCCAATCCCAAGGATCGACGTCACCCTTGCTAACGTGGAGCGAAAAAGGTTATTTTAAAAGTTAGACTTATCGAAAGGATATTGGCAAATTCGTTGGAGGTGTCATCCAAGGAGAAGACGGCGTTCTCATCGGGGAGCGGACATTACCAATTGAAGATTATGCCATTTGAACGGAAAACCACCTCAGCTATCTTCAAAATGCTAATGAGAAGGCTGCTAATTAAAACCCCTGACGCTTAAGGTCTATGTGAGCATGCTCAAGGCCTGCGTGAAGGACACAAGGAAACTTTGACAAAAGGAAACATTGTTTCTCTCTCTCCCTCGCCCCTCCCCCTCCCGGGGAGGGGGGGGGGGTGGCGGGGGGCGAGCGAGATTTTAACGTGAAATTGTCTTTGACTAGTAGCATCGGATATCGTGAGGCCGCATGTGGTTAAGCCGTGGCCTGTGGGGCTGTGACGTCACATAATGTAACGTGCACATTGTTGCCCTATGGGGCCACACAAACCTGCACACTAATTCAGCCTCTTCGCTAAATTTGGCGGGGATGTTGAATTGTTGTATAGGTCTGGGATAATTCAACGCGCGCATTGTTGCCTTATGGGGTGTCACAAACCTACACACCAATTTTGTTTCTTCGCTAAATTTAGCGGGGAAGTTGAATTGGCGTCACGTGGCGTTAATTTTTCCACACAATTTAGCGGCAAATTTAACGTCCTTGACTTACGCATCAATTTAGTTTACCCCCTAATTTAAGCGGGGAAACTGACCTCATGGCACCTATACGGCGATTCAGTTTCTCGTCTAAATTTAGCGGGAAAAGTAACGTCACGTGACCTACGTACCAATTCAGTTTCCCCAATAAATTTAGCAGGCAAATTGACGTCATGTGACCTGTAGTCGCGTGATACTAGTTTTCCTGCAATTGGCCATACAGTTCTTTTTTTTTTTAATTCCGAGTTGCCTGATTTCATTCTCCTCACACGACCTTTCTGATTGCAAGAGAGATGAAAATGTATATGCACCTGAAAACTGTCGAACTCCAGTACTTGGTGGCGATGTTGCTTGAACGTCCTAATTTTCGAGGTAATTTTCTCACTTTTCTTAGAATATCGAGGCTGTGAATCAGGAAGCGCAAATGACTAAGAGGAGAAAAAGGGGACAGGACAGAGCGCTTACTTACAACTATCAATTTAATAGCGCATGTAGAGAAACACAAGGTGGAAGTGAAAAAGAAGAAGTCCCCACCTTCTCTTGGTCATTTGCGCTTGTTAATTCACAGTCTAGATGTTCAATCGACCAGCCCCGCAATCGATATTGGTAATTTCGTGGAATACCAAAATATTTCAGGCTGCGTAGCAGGAGGGTGGGTGCAAGACGCTAAATAACCCAGGGCCTCTCTATTTTTTCATCTGGCCCTGTATAGCGCGCATAGTATCATAACCAACTACGCCATCGTTCTGAAGCACGTGCTTACAAAGAGTATCGTGTGGTCATAGTAGTCTTCTCCACCGTTGAGGAAGCCATAGAACGAATCGAAACCTCTTCGGGTCGGCGTGTAGCTTTCTTTGTAGTAACCCAAATTCCACTGAAAGCAAATAAGGAATGATTAGGAGAAGAGCAAGGGGTGGCGTTGGAACGCCCTTACCTTTCCGATCATGTGTGTGGTGTATCCCAGGTTCTTCAGGTGCTCAGGCATGATGGTTACGTTTAACGGCAACCCATGCGGCTCCGCCGGTAATTGGACGTAATGTTGTAAACCTGATAGAGACAAATGGACGCGCCAATGTGAAAATTATTCTCGAAGGTGAAAACACCGCAGCTTTAGAGAGGGTTGGGTGACGACGACTGCACCGACTACGTTGGAAATACATGGCGTTTATAAAACGGGCTTTTAACGATTTTGTGCCCGCAACTGGGATGTAGCCTCAATGAATTCATTGGGGCAGGTGACGGCCATCATACGCGTGACGGTCGTCCCGTGCACCATGGCGAAAAAGCGACATAATTTCCCGTGACACCCTGGCGTCCCATGACATTAGTACGTCAAGTAACATCGCGCCGTCACATGATACCGTGATGTCACATGACGAAGTGATGTCAAGCAAGCCTGTGAAGTCACGTAGATCTCAAGTGGCCACGTCCTTTCCTGATGGCCGCGTGACGTCACGTGATACAGTGACGTGACATGACAACATAATGTCACGCGACCACGTGCTTTTCTAATTGTCACGTGACGTAAGGTCATGTGAGGCCATGACGTTACGGAGGAGCTATAAGTGGTATACATTTAGGGCGCCATTGGAGTCTACCAAGGAGACCGGACGTTTTTAGATGGGAAGTGTGGTCATTCTCCGGGCCAGGAATACAAAGGATCTGGTTACGACTGGGGTATGCTTCCCACAAACCGCCGAAAACCTGCTCTAGCGGGCGAAACACTAGCCCAAACATTTCGGTGCCTTTGTATTCGGGAAGACGTTTCAAGTCAAATGTGACTCAGGATTTGAAATGGTGGGCTTCATACTATAAGGCCTGTATACGTGTCAGTCTGTTGTTGTTTTTCTGGTCGCTTTTTCAGACACATTATAGTGTAACACCCGACCCTGACATCACGAAGCTGCGGTGGCGTTGTATCCAATAGAGCGCATGCGCCATATTGACAACACATCACGTCGCATCACGTAAATCACAACACATCACGTCACATTGCGTAAATCACATCACATCAATTCACATCACGTAAACCTGCTTTCGGCGGACGCGTAGTGGCCACATCTGGTCTGGGCAAACGCTGACTCGTTTGTTAACAGCGTGTCAGTGTAGAGGATGACACCGGAAAACACATAATAGAGAGTTTTAGTGAGTCGTATTAACGCGACCGGTTCGTCCCCGATTGAGTGGCCGACGTCACTGCACATGCGCGCGTGAGTCTTTCGGGACTTCTGAGACAATTGAGATTTAATGAATCGGTTTAAGGCGATCAATTCGTATCCGAACGAGCTTTGGAAGGATTCAGCAAAATTGTTATGATTTCCTACCGACTAGCGTGAACGAGGAAGACTCAAAGCCTTTAAACCAGGCAGATGGAGCAGGATAAGCTCGAGCGAGCGGTGCAAGGCGATTCAAAAAGGCCGCTGTAGTTTCGTCTTTACGAGAAAGGATCGCCTGCCAGAAATTCTTCGACGTCTCGGCAGTTTACCAACTTCCAAAAACTGAGTCTGGATGTCGTGGCTGACAGGACAGCGGTTTAGACACCTTGCGTTCCGCTTAACTTATCTATTTCAGAACTACCCCGGCCACCACACTTACAATGCAACACGACTGCTCATGCAAATAACCCTATCGAACTCGCAAGTCCATATTTTATCCTACTCACACCCAGGCATTGGCATATGGTTCTCGAAGTGGATGTTTGGTTGTGTCTACGGCTGATTTCAGAGCTCTTGAAGAGGAGCACCTTATGTTAGTTTTAGTTCGTACACGATGGCTACCACCAGTAGTCTCTTGAATACCCGAAGCAAGCCTACAACAACAACGACAAACTATAAGTAGTGACCTTAAAACAATATTTTTTCAGTCCTTTGCATTCCTTGAAATACACCGACTACAGTCTCTGTCCAGCGATGGCGGACTCAATGCCCCACTAATCTGAGGTGTCCAAACAAACGATAAGATGCCGAACCTTTTCCATGTTTATGGACTATACAGCATGCGCAGTGGTGTCGGGGAGTCATTCGTAGGTTCACTTTTCCCCCAAAACAAAACCACAGCTGCTTATTTGAACAACCTCGGGGTGGGAATTGCAGTGCCTCTCCAAGCTTCTGGTTCATCCGTCATGTTGAAAAGATTTGAGTCTCTTCGTTCACGCTAGTTGTGCCAAAAATCGTTAAAATTAGGTCGAACTGTTCTAGAGTTTCCGCGAAATATCGGCGTGCAGGGGTGCCACACTTAACATGATAGCACAGATAATCGCGTAAAAATTGTCTAAGAAGGGTGTAAGTTCGAAAACACAACCTTCTTACACCATTTTACCACGATTTGTGAATATTCGAGGGTGTAAGAAGGGTGTGTTGATAATTTACACCTCTGAACGCTTTTGTACGCCCGACTTGTAGTTATGGTGTCTGAAACCGTGTAAAAAGGGTGTATGGGCGAATTTTACTCCTTTCATTCATACGGTGTGAAAGGGGCGTAATGGTGACGCAGTCGAATACACTCATGATTTTATGGCCGTTCACGCTAATCGCTTCGATCAAACTTTTTGCTGATGTGCGACGGTACAAACCTCGAGTGTGATCAATTCCCACACGAAGTGTCGTATGATTAGAAAGTGCTAGAGACTATATTCGGAAACTCTAATCAAACTTTCCGTCCGACACGAGCCGAAAGTTGCGTGTCGCGCGTGCGTCAATTTTATCAGTTAATCTTTTAATTTTAAAAAATATCTGCGCTCGCAAAAGATTAACGAAGACGTGGAAATATACAGCCCAGGCAGCACACAGAATTGTGCCGATATTGACATCAAATCAGAAAGGCAGTGCCGATACATTTTCGATCTAGCCAATATCTGTGAAGTATCGGGTTGGTCGCGCCGTCGCCATCTTGAAAGTAGGTCGCGCCCTAACATACCGTACCCTCCACCGTTTTGGGCTGAGTGTCGAGAGTGTCCTATGTGAATTGGCTACACCGGCGAGGTATTTCCATTTCCTGACAGCCTCAAAACAAACGTTGAAAATAAAAAAAAAAATTAAGCAAAACGGAATCAGCTTATTTTTAAGAGGGGGCGCACCTCAGAGCCCCATAGAGAATACATGAGGTTTTTCACCAATGTAAACAAATTCTGACATAATAACGGCTGCGCGGATCTTCTTGAAAATTTCGGCTTTAAAGACATTGAGTCATTATTGAGACACTAAGCGCAACAAATGTTTCATCATAAATTTAATTATATTCTTTAAAAAATCATGAAAATGGTCAAAATCGGCTAATTCGGCACTCTTGCGTTCGGAGCGAATTTACAAAATTATCTAAATTCAAGCATAAGAAGTATTGCGCTTAATGTCTTCTAAATTTATTACGGAATCGAATAATATTCAAATTATTCATGTAAGTCGATTTGTTCCATAACTACAGCAAATATAAAGAACCAAGGTGTCGGTGCTTGTTTTCGTCGTTTTTAAGGTACCTCTCTCTCCCGTGCGGTGGCGCTCGCTGTCCACGAAATGCGAAATCGTCCGTTCGGAGATCGGCCGGATCGGCACTGTGCGAGGTGTTCTTCCGCGGCCGTATTCCGCGCCCGTATCCTGTTTCATTCTGCACGCCGAGGCGTCAGTGTGCGTGTCTTGCTTTCCTGGTTCTCGCTGGGTAGGTCTCCGTGTTTTCGCAAGTGGCAAATTCACCTTGGAGCTATGGGTCGAAGACAACCGTCCTGTGGCAAGCGGACCGCGAGGTGTTCCACAACCTCGCGGTCCGTCAACGCGTTGTGCTTGTTTCTACTTTTTTTTTTTCTTTTAAAAACGGGCTTTTTTTTTGACGCAAAGTTTTATTTTATCGTTATCCTTCACACAAACGTCCTTCGGCCTTGGGGTCGTGGAAATCGGGGATGAAGCGTGCACAAAGTAGATCGTTGTTTTCCTCCTTTTTATTTTTCACGGACGTCCTGTGACCTCCGTACGGTTCGTGGTCACCGCAATCTAACGCGGGGAAAAACGGGTCGCCTGCTCTGTAGTCAGGGTATTCCTAGGGGAGGGTGATAACTCGCTGTTCTTCTGGAAATTCACATATCACCCAAAAAGGTGACATGGGTAATGATTACGGTATGTTTTTTCCGGTGTTTGTTTTTGAGCGAAAATCGGTGCATGTTTTTCGGTGCTTATTTTTTAATCACCAGTGTATTATGGGTTGAACGTCTTGTGATGACGCTAAAAAGCGTCAATAACCAAAGAGAAATGCGATTGGACAAGAACATTTCAAATTTCCAATTCTATTCACATATCCATTACGCTCTTCTCGTGGGAGCATCTATCCTGACGAAAAATGCCTAAGACATTGAGCTGTGAACGCATACTCAGTGTACAATCTTTCGGCCTAGAGAGGTATTGCGCACGCTCGAACGCGCTTCACAGCCCAGTAGACGAAGTTGGTGGCACCCAGAAGGCGAGTTTTTGAATGGTCTGTAGTAGGCAAAAGAAACAAATAACAATCAACGCATATCAGCTCTTCAAGCGAAGAGGCGCGTTTCTAAGGTCAATGGTTCCGGACGGCACTAATGTTGTTGACGTTGTCGTAAGATGACGTCAGTTCATGCGAACTGACGTCATCTTACGTGATCACGTGACACAAACACGTCATCTTACATGATCTCGTTACACGAAATGACGTCATCTTACGTGATCACGCTGCACAAAATGACGCCATCTTACGTGACCACGTAACACGTCATCTTGTAAGTCAACCTCTCCCCACAGCAGCGCGCTCCGCGCTTTCCGGGTTTGTGCAGTGCTGTAGTCGAAAGCAAGCTCCCTATGGCAAGCGAAAGCTTCTGAAGTCTCACATTGAGAATACTCGCAAGCGACCGTCTGTGGAAGCTTCGCACGTTGAGGTTTTTGTTGAGATCGAGCCATCGTGTTCCATTAACTATAGTGGAAGTTATCGTTCAATAAAGCCCTAAAAATATGAATGTAGTTGGTGTAGACATCAAGATCTAATCAAAAATGCGGTTTGACTTCGTTTAATTAACGTGTATATACAAGTGTAGAAAA